TTTTCTCTATGTTTAATTCCTGAATTTCCTAAGCGATAGCGCAAAATTTGAAAACATGAAAAACTGCATTGCCCACTGCATTTACCAAACAAAACAGTGACGTCATGGATCTTTTAAAATCACATATCCCACATTCGATGTGAACATTCATTACATTTGACCCTTGTTCACATAATTGAGCTTTGTTACCATTTAAAATTTTTTTTCCAAAAAGATATGCTCCCTTTTTAGCAATTTAGAATGGCAGCGGAGTGTTTGGAGGTAATATCAATTTTTGGGTAAGAAAAATATTTCACGTTCTTAATTCTAAAAAAATAACACCTATATATAACAAATTGGCAGAGGATACTCATATTTCATTTAAATTAAAAGTTCAACCATAATACAGTAGCAATTAATCAGACACTAAAACAGTTTAAAAATTTAGGTAAACTACAAAAACTGATGTTAAATAGAGCCAATACTACTTGAAAAGCCATGGACACTGACAGCTCTTCCATTCTTATTTATCTTTTTCTTTTGGCAATCTTGAATACCGGCTTGCTTTCTGTCAATTTTTGTCAGTTTATAGGAAGTACTCCTAACTGATTGGGATTGGGACTTCCAAAGGGAAGGAGAGTGAGAAATACCGAAAACGCTTTCAGGTTTGATATAATATATCTAATGATATAACTATAGATAAGAAAATATTCAAAACAATTTAAAGGTGATATGAATATCTATATATAGAAAAGATTTTTTAGAATATATATATACTATCTATTCAATTAACCTTTAATAAAAAAAATTTTAAACATCTGTAAAAATAGGGAAAAAGAATAGAACAGTGAAAGTATAGAATGCCACGTCAAGCATTTTTGATATGTTTTTTGCTTCAGGTATTATTATAGATTATATAGATAAAATGGATAAATGAATAAAATTACCTGGGCATTTAACAACCTACTTATCGATTTAAATTTAATTCGTAAACTATACAAAAAGTTATGTATATTTTAGGTGACCCGATTAACAATTACTGAAGATTACCAAAAGATTACAATAAAAGTTTACAAATGAATTCAAATTTTAGTCAGTAAAAAGCATTGAACTAATTCATTGCTAGTTTGATTAATTTGTGAACTAACTGATTATTGACTAATGACTGAAGATTGGAGGATCTGATTTCGTGATAAAATTTTTAATTTCAACAGAGGCAGTAAAAAAGTTTGTTAATGACAAAATTCAGTGATAAATCACTGACATATTAGCTGACTAATTCAGACGAAATAAAATTTTCTGTCGCTAATCTGTAGGATATTTAGCTGGATCAATTTTTTTTTTAAAATAAAAAAAATTTACGCGAAATAAATAGGCGGTAAGAACACTATTCAGCAACGAAATTTCACAGTGAAAGTTATTTGTTTCTGTTCATTTGTTTTTTTTTAACAAAATCCTTAATTAGTTTTGAATGGCATATAATTTTTTAACTTTACATTAGACTATGTAAAAATATATCAAATTAATTACAAGTAATATATGATATTTTAATCCATGACACCATTTGATTACAAAGAATAATGAATAGTACTTATTATTGAAGAACAAAATTAGATTTTCAAAGGAACCTTAGTTTCTTCCTTCAGTTAAGTGGGAGGGTAGCTGTGTTGATTTTTCAAAACTTTGACCCTCAGTTGTTATTATATATATATATATATATATATATATATTAAAAAATTTAATTGTACCATATTTTATACACCATTAACCAAAAGAATGTGTACCACAGTCGAGCGTACTTCATTGTTCTTTATGGGTAACTTTGATATATAGCAGCAAAACACTATTGGAGTTATTCCCAACCCCCGTAAATTAAGGGAAAAATGTTCATTTTTGCCCCTGAACCTTGGGCTTAGCTATTGACAAAATGAACAGAACTTACACTTCTTCCTTATTTCTTCTTGCTCATCAACAAGTTCCACCTTGCCAAACTTGCGCACTCTTCAAAACTGAGTCCTCATAAGAAATCCAGTTTTCTCACCTTGAGTTCTCCTGGGTTATGGATATCCACACGATCAACTTTGATTTTTAAATTTATTTTTATTAAATATTAAGGTTTTAGAAATCTCTTACGTCTGTATGTAAAGCTACTTCATTTGGGACCCACTGAGTCTACCCACTTAGTCATGGGTTAATTTTCTCTCGTGAACTCGAGTATAAAAAGTTATTGCTTAATTATTTTATTACTTCAATTTCGTCGCTTAAATAATATATGAACTTTTATTATACTAATAAAAAAGTCAATTAAGCTCATTTTTAAGTTAGGAAATCGATTAAATGCTGAACATGTCAATTACATATGTCTAACTGATATAAATGTAATATTAAAAGTTCCATGTTTAGAAATTGATTTTTTCTCTCTCACCTGCCCAACTAAAAGAATCTCACCCATCTAGTCGCACATATCTGTTTATCCCCACTCTAAGAATATTTTTTTAATTTAAAATAAGGAAAATTAAAATTATGTCAAAGATACAGTGGTCCCATTGATTATTATTTTAGGGAAGATTTATTATTTAGTCATGATTTTACCAAAAATTAACAACTATTCTAAGGTTTTTGCCCAAAATTATTAGTAAGTCCCTCAGGTTTAACTTCGTCCTAGATTAAAAGGTCCTTTCGTCGAATATAGACTAAAAGACTAAAATACCCCTCCCTAGCTGACGTGGACCATAAGGGAAAATTATTATCTAGTCCCTCAGGTTTTATATAATTATCTAACTAATTCTAAGTTTTGCATAAATATCTAACTAGTCCCTCAGGTTTAAATCCGTCTAATTGAAAGGTTCTTCCGTCCGAAAAGTTAGTTTTTTTTCGTTAATTGAAAACTAAAAGACTAAAACACCTCTCCCTATCTGACGTGGACCAGTATGAAGCGATAAGTGAGGGAATTGTATAAACTAAAAGACTAAATAATAATTTTCCCTATAATTTTATGCACATGTAGAATTCCCCAAATTATCATCATAGTTTCTTTTTTTAGACAAAAAAAGTAATAAACATAAATTTTCTATTTTATTCATATTTAATATGCAAATTTTATCAAGAACATTACTATTATCATCATAAATCATCTTCATTCTATAATATTTGTCACATTTAGAATTTCATGTCTTTTAAAAAATTATTAAATTTGTATAAATTATAATAAATTATTGAATAAATTTTGACAATCTTACTCTTAATTTAATATTAATCTCTAAGAAAATCATTAAATTGAAGTAATAATTATTAATCATACACATTAATATTCTAAAAAAAAAGATATATTATTAAATTTAATATAAATAAGGATAAAATTGAAAAAAAATTAATTACTCATTAATATTATAAAAAAAAGATATTTGCGGAGAAAACACCGGCTCTAAAATAACAGTTATTTATAGATAAAAAATAATTATTATTGCCACCTATATTATTATAATTTCATAACTTTGAATATGAATATTAATATTTAATGCAAGGTTATATAATAGGTATATCATTATGGGACCATGAAAGGAACAAAAGGGAAACCCCAAACTGGGGTATATCATTTATCGCTTCATACTGGTCCACGTCAGCTAGGGAGGGGTTTTAGTCTTTTAGTCTTCAATTAACGGAAAAAAAAATGAACTTTTTCGGATGGAAGGACCTCTATCAATTAGACGTGAAGTTAAACCTGAGGGAATCTAGTTAATATTTTGCGCAAAACTGGGATTAGATTAGATAATTAATGTAAACCTAAGGGACTAGATAATAATTTCCCTTATTGGTCCACGTCAGTTAGGGAGGGGCTGTTAGTCTTTTAGCTATAAATTAACGGGGAAAAAAATAACTTTTTCGGAACGGAAGGACCTATAAGGACCTTTTAATTAGACGGAGTTAAACCTGAGGGACTAGTTAGATATTTTGACAAAACCTTGGATTAGTTGGTTAATTTTGTAAAACCTGAGGGATTAAATAATAAATTACCCTTATTATTATTATTATTATTTTGGGAATGTCCATAAAAATAACCTAATCTAAAAATAAATAATTAAATTAAAAAATTAGAACAATTGAAAAATGTACTACACGTAACTTCCTAGGTTGTCCAGTTGGAACATCATTAAAAAAAATATTACAATTCTAAATGGAATTTTGACCATTTTTTGAAAAATTAAATTCAATCAAAATATTTTAAATAAAAAAATATCGTCAAGCCTAGTAGGGTAGGCTTCTAGTCAAGCGAGGTGAAAAATATACCAACATCACTCATCTTTTTCTTCTTTCTAAATAACTACCGCCAATGCCAAATCATCAATTTTCCATCTTACTTTGTCTTATTTCAGTTGATACAGCTCATCAATACCAGTACATGCTCTGTTAGCAGTACTGCTCTGTTAGCATACTTCATGGTTACAAAATACAAATACAAGCCCTAGAGCATTTCTAAGGAACCAAATACATTCTATGCATATCATTTTCAATTTACATTAAAGGTCAACGGATCACGACTTTTAAGGTTTCATCTTTTTCTTCTTTCTAAATAACTACCGCCAATGCCAAATCATCAATTTTCCATCTTACTTTGTCTTATTTCAGTTGATACAGCTCATCAATACCAGTACATGCTCTGTTAGCATCTTACTGGTTACAAATAAATTACAGCTAGCATTTTAGGAATCATTCTTGCATATTCTTTTCTTTTAATCTAAGGGTCAGGATAGCTTTTAGGTTTACTTGTATAGCTATCTCAGTAGTATATATAGAAAACTTATTGATGTAATTAAACAACTTTTTTGGAATACATGAGAAGTTCCTCATTTTTGAGCCTCCATTAAATCCAAGCACTGATTTTTATAGAATCTGAAACTTATTGATCCTTTTCATGGTATCAGAGCCCAGGTTTGCAATCCTTTTAAACTACCATGGCTCACCCAACTAACATAGAAAACACAGAGGCAGCAAGACAAATATAGAACCAAGCAAATACTGCCATGGAGGAAGCTCTAAATCTTCATAACTCAGATCACCCAAACCTTTCATTGGTAAGTGTCCAGTTAACTGGCTTAGATTATATGTCATGGAAAAGGTCGATGATTATAGCTCTTAGGGCTAAAGATAAGCTAAGATTCATAAATGGAACTTGTGCTAGACCTACATTTGGATCTCCCCTGTATGACAAATGGATGAAAGCAGATAGCATGGTAATTTCTTGGATTTTAAATTCTATTGCCAAAAATGTTGTGGAAACCTTCCTATATTCTGATTCAGCTAAGGATTTATGGGATCAAATAAATCATAGGTTTGGTGAAAGTAATGGACCATTACTTTACCAAGTCCAGAAGGCCATTTGCAATTTGTCTCAAGGAAATCTATCAGTTGTAGACTATTATACTAAAATGAAGAAGTTGTGGGATGAACTTAACTGTCTTAAACAATTGCCAGTTTGCACTTGTGGGGCATCATCAGCCATGTCTAATATGGAAAGCAATGATAGATTGATTCAGTTTTTAATGGGTTTAAATGATACATATGAAACCACCAGAAACCAAGTTCTGATGATGGAGCCTCCGCCATCAATCAGTAAAGCATATTCCATGATATTCAATGTTGCCAAACAGAAAAAGATTCAGCTATCTACCAATGAAATTACAGAGATACCAGCTGCAATGGCAGTACAAACACAAAGGAGGACAAATATTTATGAAAGTTCAAGGAGGAATTCTGGACAGAAAGAAGATCAATACTGTACAAACTGCAAAACTTCAGGTCACACTAGGGCAAGCTGCTTCAAAATTATAGGATATCCAGATTGGTGGGAAGACTTAAGGCAGAAAAGAAAGGCTGCAAATGCAAAGGCAAATGCTGTGACTAGAGATTTGGACAGTCCACTTGAAATGAATCATAAAGGAGGAGCACCTTCAAACGAAGATCATTGGGATATGAATTTGAATAAGAATCCACAACAACAGAGTGCAGCAGCTAACACTGTCTCATTTGCGGGTACAACTTCTACTTTTGAAACGAAGATCATTGGGATATGAATTTGAATAAGAATCCACAACAACAGAGTGCAGCAGCTAACACTGTCTCATTTGCGGGTACAACTTCTACTTTTGATTATGTTAAACTAAATTGCAAGGAAATTGGTAAATGGGTTGTTGATTCTAGATGTACAGACCACATGACTGGTAATTCTTCATTCTTTGAGACTATACATAAACTTGGGAACCCAAAAACAGTAAGATTGCCTGATGGAACCTTTAAAACAGTAACTCATTTTGGAAAGATTAAACTTAGTGATAGAATCCACTTGATTGATACATTGTTTTTACCAAGTTTTGATTGCAACCTTATATCAGTGACAAAATTAACCAAAACTTGCAATACATCAGCCCACTTATACCCAAATTATTGCATTTTGCAGGATTTGCTGAGTAAGGATATCATTGCTATTGGAAAAGTGTGGGAGGGTCTATATATCTTGAATTAAAGTTCTTTCTTAGTTAAGCTAGTGTCAAAAGTTAATCATGTAAATCAAGTTCAAAGAATGAACAAATCCACATTGTGGCATTTCAAATTAGGACATTTATCTGTTCAAAGGTTAAGTCATTCAAATGTAAAAGATATTGACAATGTAAATGAGTTAGTCTATGATGTTTGTCATTTATCCAAGCAGCAGAGACTGCCTTTCTATCCTTCTGATCATTTATCTCCATTACCTTTTGATTTGATTCACATTGATTTGTGGGGACCTTATAGAATTAAATTCATCACAGGTGCTATCTACATGGTCATTATTGTTGATGATCATAGTAGATACACACATGGACTTCTATGATTAAAGATAAAACTCAGGTTCATAATGTTATTGTCAATTTCTTAAATCTGATACAGACAAGTTTAGCAAGAAGATTAAGTCCATTAGATCTGATAATGGAACAGAATTTATTAATGTCAAATGTCATGATCTATTCACTTCTAAAGGGATCCATCACCAAAAGTCTAGTCTAATGTGGGCCTATTAGCCCACAGCAGAACTGGGCATTTATGGAAAGAAAGCATTAAAACGTTACCAAGTTGCTAATTTAGGTCATTATAATAGTAGTCTCTACAAGTCAGTTTTCCAAATTCGTGCTATTCGTAACGTGTCAGAGGACATGTTACCTAGTTAGCTGCGACACACCATGTATATCTACTTACATAGAAATACCATATCACGGCATTATACCTGCATTTAGAGTTCGGAACATCAACCCATCTCTTGAGATAGCTCTCTTATACAATACATATACAACTAACCTTTTCTTCATTTAAGAATCATCGGGTGGTTTGTGCTATGCAACATGTAACGACCCATAAAGACAAATTGTTTCACTAGACGCTATTTAAGTGATGCTCGACATTAAGCGTGTTGTCTCGTGCTGACCAGCAATGCCTTCGTAATACCCCGGTAGAAAGAGTACTCTCGCACCGAACGATTGACATATTCTTTTTTGATATTGTGAATTGTTTCTGGATAGAATGGTATAACATCTTTTAACTGGATCACTAAGCGACTCGATGACGAAAAAATTACGGCTCTTAAGGGTAATTGATTTTGTGAGTCGCCCACACACCCGATCGGGTAACTTTCGTCTCGTTCATAGAACAGCTGCGTGACGCTACTGTCTTAAATTCCCAGAAGATTCAGTATTGGTATCCTGTATCTGCTCCTTTTAATTTTATTTTTATAAAAATGTTGTACCCTATTCTCTTATATAACCCAAATTTATTATGAGTGGCCAATTTATTTTAGAAAGACACGGAACTGGGTCAGGAACGATAAGCCATAGTTCCGAATTTCTTAGATTAAGAGGAGGCTCATAAGGTCATCGTCGGTGCTTCACACTGAGAATTAAATTTAATGTGACATCGACGCACTTGCGGGTAATGAAGACGGTCTCTTTTTTTATGACACTTACGATTTTATCTATTACTTTTGATTGTGTTTTTTTAGAACACAGTTCCATTTATTTTAATATCACCTCAACCCATAATTATAAATCGACAATCGGATGTTTTGTGTCCTGACCTTGTGTAGGAAAATTAACTATACCAGTCCGGCAAGATAGAAGCGTGATTCTCATTTCATTGCAATATCATTTCCTGTTAATATAATTATAGACATTCACAATTTGCCTAATCGAGATTGCATCACATCGCATACTGTATCAAATGAAGAATGAGAGTAATAAAAAGAGTCTCTCGCTTCTTTGCCTATATATTGTGTTATCGGAAAGGCGGGCCAGTAGGAAAGCTAAGACCCAAGTAGCTTAATTATATTTAAAACTTAATGATAAAACCAATAAGAAATAATCCAGAAAAAATCTCATAATCATCAATATAATTATTATTTGATTAAGACTCAGTTTGTTGCCCATAATTGAACATTTTCCGGGTTAGGATTAAAATCTACTTAATGAAGTGAAATTAAAATACAGTAAAGAAACTATTCTGGAATCTTAAGACAGTAGCGTCACGCAGCTGTTCTATGAAGAACAGTCGCGTGGCGCAACTCCCATTATTCATTCTGGAATTTTAGAACAGTCGCGTCACGCGGGAATTCTATGAAGAACAGTCGCGTGACGGAACTCTTGTCATATTACTGAAAATAGGAACAGTTGCGTCATGCAGCTGTTCTATGAAGAACAGTTGCGTGACGGAACTCCTAGCTACGTGACGAAACTATTCGTAACTTATTAAAATTCTCTACATCGGTCTTATTAAAATTCTCTACTTTGTTGATTATTTACTCAAGATATCATATTAAATACAAATATGAGAATAAAAGTATACTGGGTGTACAAATAGCTGCGTCACGCAGTGTCCAGTCCGAATCAGAAGACTTTCGGACATGAACACAAGCCGCGTCACGCAGGTAGTAGCTGCGTGACGCGACTGCTCTGGTCCGCTATATATCTTTCAAACTACCTTTTTAACGTGTTTCTTTTTGTTAAAGATGATTTAAACACAACTCAGAAAAGGGTCAACAGTGGCAAAACCTTACGTTTTACCATAACAATCAACTAACTATTAGAAAATGAGATTTTAAGAGATAAAATACTAGAAATGAAAGATAAAGCTTAGATTAGTTACCTTGCCCTCAGATTTGAGGATTGCATACGCTGAGATTAACATAGAGACGTTGTTTCACGATCCCAGACGTGTAGTCACTAAGTCTTTTCACAAAATAAATCATTTTCTTTCTTTCTTTCTTTCTTTCCTCTCCTTTCCTCTTCTTATCTTTTTTTGTATTTTTTGATTTTGAATCTAAAATATCTATGACTTGATCTTTCCCAAGTTTTCCTCAAGGTTACTCACTTGAGTTCTTGGGGAAGAAACTTTAGCCGTAAATCAGTAAATCTCTGCTTAAAATATTGAAGTCCAGAGAAAATGAGAGAAAGTGTCAAAAGTCTCGTTTTTGCTGTAAAATGTTGTATTTATATAGCTAGGGCAACAGAGCAGTCGCATCACGCAAGCAGGAGCTGCACGACGCGTCCACAAGTTGCGTGACGCAGCCATGAGATGTGTAACGCGACTTACTTTTTGTACAATTGCCGCGTATCCATACAAACAGTGCAGGACATTGCACGGGCGCGCGCCAGAAGTGTCAGTCCTGTTAGAGCTGCGTGACGCAGCTAAGAGTGCCGTCATGCAGGTTCTAGCTGCGTGACGCAGCCCTAACACGGGTCGGTCAGGCTCCTTTGGCTGGTTTGATTCAATTTTTTGGTTCGCACAGCACTTCCCTGGTTATCCGTGATACTTGTTTTTTTTTTTTTTCCCCATTTGTCCTCATATCATCCATTGGGGTCAGTTTTCGATCCTAGAGCTATTAAGTGTGCATTATTGGGATATGCAAATGATCAAAAGGCATATAGATTGTATGAATCAAAAGGCATATAGATTGTATGACCTCAGAAACAAATGCATAATTACATCCAGAGATGTAATATTCCATGAAGCATTTTTTCCTTATAAAGAACATTACTCCATTGAACCACATGACTGTCCTTTACCAACCAACATTGATATCGCCCAAAACCTTTATAACACAGAACTAACACCTGAGCACCAATTTCAAAACCCACAACCAGAAACAACTAAAAACACCAATGACAAGACTGAAGCCAATACCAGTAACCAACCAGAACCCATGTCTCCTGTCACAATTCCTCTGCAAAACAGTAGTTCTGATAGTCAATTTACAGAAATGATACCTAGGAGGCCAACTAGAACTGTAAATAGGCCAGTCTGGATGCAAGATTATGTTTCATTTGTTCAAAACAATAGCAATGACGACTCTACTGCAGCATCTACCTCAAACATGCATGATTTATCATTTGATAGCACCTTTCCCAAATTTACCTTATCTACAGCCTACTATACCTTCCAAAAACAGATTCAACAACTCCATGAACCATAAACTTACAATAAAGCAAAACATGATCAAAATTGGATTAAAGCTATGCAAATGGAGATAACTGCATTAGAGAACAACAACACCTGGACTGTCACTTCATTGCCAAAAGGCAAAAGAGTAATTGGATGTAAATGGGTTTATAGGATTAAATATAAACCAAATGGGGAGGTGGATAGGTACAAGGCAAGGCTTGTAGCAAAGGGATATAACTAGCAGCTAGGACTTGATTATACTGAGAACTTCTCACAGTAGCTAAACTAGTGACTGTCAGATTGTTTTTGGCTATAGCAGCTGCATATAATTGGCCAATCTTGCAAATAGACATTAATAATGCACACTTGCAAGGGTTATTGGATGAAGAATTGTATATGACACCTCCCCCTGGCTATAACAAGGCTGAACAAGGACAGGTTTGCAAGCTCAAAAAATCAATTTATGGCCTTAAACAGGCTGGTAGACAGTGGAACAAAGAGCTGACAGCAAAGCTCAATCAGTTTGGAATACACAATCCATGAATGATCATTGTTTGTTTATAAAAGGCATCGGTTCAGACTTTATAATGCTATTAGTTTATGTTGATGA